CCAAGGCCAACTGAGTGGGAGTGAAGCCATTGACAAATGTGTGGTCATTCAACGATGGCACAACCCAACTGAGAGCGTCATGAAGGCCTGAGAGATCCTTGAGGTCGTGCTCCTTCATCAACACCTGAAGATTCCTTCGAAGCAGTTGATTCCTTTCAACCAAAATGGTTCGTGTGTGGGACTGGCCTGGACTGATGTGCATTTCAATGCCATGTTCTTCTGCCCATCTCATGGCGCTGTCTGAGGCGAATGCTGGGTGCTCGTCCACAAAGAGTCTGGCTGGTGATCCATGAAGCTTCACCCAATTTCTCTCCAGTGCTTTCTGAAGGGTTGTGGCCTGTTCATCGATCACTGTCCTAGCCTCCATATAACGGGTTACTTCATCAATCATGACTAGGATGCCAATCTTCTTGGTCTTGTGCTTCTTGTCGGTGAAGTCCTCCAGGGAATTGAAATCCAACCACATGACATCTGCCTGAACATGGACGTTGAATTCTTTGGCACGGTCAAGATGTGCCGGTGCTGCACCCTTCTTGATGGCAAAGCTGTTGCAATAGGGACATTCGATCTCATGGATTGCTGCCAGCACTTTCTCATCATTTGGTTTGTTCTTCAGCAACTCCAGCAAAGCTTCGGTCCTTGGATGACCTAGGTTGCGGTGTAGGCGGTATGCAATCCTCACGGCTTCTTGCCATGCTTCGCCCCAAACTTCCTGAGAACTCCAGTCAACTGCTCCTCCTGGTTCACTGCATAGACCTGTTCAGGCAATCCTTCATCAGCCATGGCTGCTTCAGCCAAGCAGCGAGCCAGCAACTCTGGATAGTCCTCAGCTGCTTTGCAACGTTGACCTCCTTCTAAAGGTTGATGCTGATGGTCCTGTTGGCATCGTCGGGACATGTGCCACACCATAGCCTGTTTTGTAGTCTGGAGGGTCGTTGCCTTCTTGATGGGAAGCCATTCACCGGAATCTGTCCATGAGGTGGCACCACATGCACATTGATCAAATGTCACCCTCATGCCTGGAAGCTGAAAGGCTGGTGTCTTCCAAGCTTTGGAGTGGGCAGGATGCTCCACGCGTGACGTCCACCTCGAACTTGACGTAGGTAGACTTTCCGGCAGAACTTGAGGTGAATCTCATGATCCAACCATCTCCTTTCTTGAAGTTCCTGCGCGTCCTCATCGGTCTTGAGATTGATGCTGGTGGACCAGAGCGTGCACTTTGGTAACATGAAGATTTCGTCCGGTTCTTCCTCCTCCTGCAAGTCCAACAATGCTCTTCTGTGAGCGGCTTTGGTAAAGTCCCAGCCATCAACTAAGCCGAACCTTCGAACTTCAGCACCTCTTCTTTGACACTCCTCGGAGAAGCGTCCTCTGCCAGCATAGATCTCCCAGACAATCTTCTTTCGCCGAACTCCTGGCCTGGCTTCATTCATCATTTGTCTCTGCATCTTCTTGAGGCACTGCAACTGGAGCTCACAACAAGTGAAAAGACGCTCAAGGCTTTCCACTGTATTCTCAACACCTTCCACCCTTGTCACATGCTCGGCCTCCTCCGCCAAGCCCTCAATTTCCGTCTTCATCTCTTCGAAGCGTCCTTCTGCTCTCATGTCCTTCAGGAAATTATGAAAATTTTCAATCTGACCATGGTCGTCGTCGCTCCTCAAGTCGAAGGTCGGATTGTCCAGCTGTGAGGCATCCAGCAAATTGCTGCACAAAGAAAGAAGCATGCTGCCTTGCTTTCCTCTTTCGATGTCCCTCCAAACGCCTCCCATGATCCTCATGCGACCTTCATCAACAACTGCTTGCAGACGCTCCAGAATGGGACGACCTAGCAGCATGGGAGTGGCACCAAAAATGATGAATGCTTGGATACGCCCGGACACATTTTCGATGAGCACGGGAAGGGACACCATCCACCTCGTTGAACCTTCTGCATCTCCACCAAACTTGAAGAGCTTATTTATCTAATTTGGAGACATGTGAAACCATAGCTGTCTGATATAGCCAAGACGTCAGGGCGCGGATATGTCGAAACTAAGGCGTTGGAACGGGACGGTGCAAATGGTACGCATGGTACGCTGGTTCGGGTACGCATGGTACACAGGACGGCGGAACGGGACGGTGCAAATGGTACGCATGGTGTGCTGGTTCGGGTACGCATGGTACACAGGACGGCGTGAATGGTACGGATGGTGCGTAGGTTCAGGTACGCGTGGTACATGCGTTGAGGTACGCACATGGTCACGTGGTACGTTGGTCTAGGCACGCGAGGTACATGGTATGCGTGGTGGTTGGGGCACGTGTAGTCACCGTGGGGTGCGCGCAAAGTGTTGGCAACAGGGTGTGGGGTACGCGCGATGGACACGTGCATTGACACGTGTGTGGGTACCTCTGGAACGCGTTGCCCGGGGTTGAACTGCATGTTGTGCAGGGTTGTTCAACTCCTTTTTGTTCTGCAGTCTGCAACTTCAAGTTGAAGTTGAAGTTCTCAAGCTGAGCCGAGCCATTCAATCTTGATTTGTAAGTTGCATGTTGAAAGAGATTTGAGTGGTATCAAGACCAGTGACCAAGAAGCATTCACCTGCCGTCTTCCGTAAAGGCTTCGCTGCTAGCATTTGCATGAACAATTTGGACTGTCGTGGAGTTGTATTTACAAGCTTGGCAAACATGAAAAAAGACAAAGTTCCAAGTTTCAACTTTCAACATGGGGTGTATTATGTAGCAAGGAGTCACCATGACGTAGAGATTTAACAAGCTTGACAAACATGCAAATAGACACAGTTCCAAGTTTCAACTTGTTTCAACATGGGGTGTATTATGTAGCAGGGGTGGCATAGAGAGCTTGGAAATTTGATATGATAAATGGACTTGCACACTGGGAAATACAGTAGCAGTCTCAGTAGGATATCCCATAGGGTCAACACAGAAAAGAAGAACATTAACCACTGACTATCATTGCTCTTTGCTATGTGACATCTTGTGGCAAAGCTATGGTGCGAAATCGCCCGTCTATTGCATTGATACTGGCGCGAGGGTTCAACCGATTACGAAGAGAAGCTGTTCGACCTGTACAACACACAGTTGCTAGTTCATGTGCTCTCGCAAGAGCAGGAGCATCGGACTTGTCAGTTTTACATGTTTGCAGTTTGCAAAGAACTTGTCTTTTGACTTAGATTCTCTAAATTCTGCTTGTGAGCGGCATTCGTACGCAGGCAAGAAGCGGAAACGTCAAGAGCAAGCACACAACAGAAAGTGGGATAAGTGCAGGAGTCTACGTTCCTTCCTTTTCGAAACGCTTGGAGTTGTCTGTGGGTTGGTTCACTTTGGTTTGGGGGTTTGGGACTTCTCGCAAGGAAGTTCCTTTTGCACTACAATAGGGAACACGCAGTGAGCCGTCAAGACGTTTAAGATGTTGACGGTGGCCATCGTGACAAGAAAGTCAAGGCACGAAACTGCCGCAAACCGGTCAGGCAAGTACCGCACTTGGACATCCAGGGCTATTTTGAGAGTTGCGCCGCTCTCTCAGAAATGCATGGCGAGCGCATGTCGAAAGCACCCTTATATAGTTATATAAGCTGGCGGTTTGCGCGTACTTTAGAGTAATTGTAATTGGGTCCTTGGCAACATGAGCCCATATAGGCTTGAGGTTCCGGCCGGCCGAATATGATTTAGCTGAATTGCATGACTGTCTGTTTGAGGCTGGGGCGATCTGTGGAAGATATGATTCTGAAGCTTCCGACCAAGACCAAGAAGAATGGGACAAAACCAATGCTGCCAAAGTTGAAATCCAAGTCTCCCATCATGTTTCTCGACATATACCTGCCGTGGCTAGTGTAGACTTTTGACTTTTGATATCTGTAGCGACGGTGCATAGTGCTAATTTTTAAAAGACATGATTTTCAGATTTAATTTATTTAAAATATAATTAGTACAGTTGAGAGGAAATGCATGGTTCATGACTGTTTTGCCTATTGATGCCCAACACCTACAATTGCAAATTCTAGCATCACGGATCACGACGACGATTCAATTTGTTGCTTCAGGTTCTCATTGAACAGCCTTGCTTTCTGGATGGATTGTGGAACAGGGACAATCAGCCAGGCCTGGTTCTCTTGCAGCTAGGGAAGCTGCCACAGCAGTGGCAAATTGATTATGGTGACTGGCGATGGCTGACTGACTTCTTAAATAAGGTTAATGATGGCTTCATTTAAAAACAACTCACGTTTGTATTTGCTTTGTCGAGTGAGTTGTTAAACCTGGACTGTTCTGTTTTAGAACTTGAAGCATCAGGCATCAGAAGTAGAAGTTCTCAATTGCTCAGCCTGTTCAGCCAGGTAAGATGCGCTTTGAGCAACTTCTACTTGGCCCAGCAGCGTGACCACGCAACAACCCTGCTACAGGCAAGCTGGGTTAGGCTCGGTTCAGTTCAGTTCAGTGACCTGGTGACAGGCGAGACCGAGAAGCATTTCACATCATCTTGAATGGGATGAAACTGGTCAGAAACTACAACTGCGAAATGATTTGGTGAGCACAAATGCTACCATGCCTGTTCTAGACCCTTGGCACATTTGAACCTTTTACAAGCTTGGCACTGTTCTGCTTTAGTTTGTAGCAGCTGAGATTTCACGATCGACAATTTTCACAACCTGCGAGAATGGAAGAATTCAGCGGCTATATGTCGGAGCCCTGATAAGTAATTTTGTAGCTTTGAGCTCAGAACTTGTTGTCTTAGAGCAGCGTGTTTCATGAGGTAGTCAACCCCCCTGCGGTTCTACGCAGAGAAACATCGCGGGCGTTGTGGAAAGCAATTGTCAAAACAAGTGTTGTTCCACCTTTAAGCTGCTTGGTTTTTGCAACAAATAGCTCAAGAACATAGCAGTTTTGTAAGATTTACACTTACGTACGCTCACGCTATTACTCTTCAGACTTCAGACTTCAATGTGTATGCAGGTCACATGTCACATACCTAAGGCTTACTGGAGAAGTGCGAGATTTGTATTATGACCTTTCTTGCAGATGGCCATTCAGCAAACGAACGTCTCTTCAGCAATGTCGGCAAGTTGACTCCACCCAATAGCCTCCTTGTACGCCAAGGATGTTTGCTGACACACCCTTAGTGGTTTGCATTTGTCAATCCTGGCCATATATATAAATCATGTTTTGCGTGTCATGACTCTGCTCTGCATCACTTGCGTGAGGCATGAGTGCAACCACGTGCCCGAAGTTGCCTTCAAGACATTGGGAGATCTGGCCTACATGTGCTGGGCCAAGCATGTAGATTGATGCAATTTGGAATTCGGCACGCCTCAACCCGAATCTGACTGAATCTGACATTGGCTCTGTAGGTTCTGCACATCAAGCTTGATAACGAATGGCTCAATCTATTACGATTTGTTGCTGCATGCCCGTCGTGTACTGGAGACAAAATTGAAGATCGTTTATTCACCGTCTGAAACTGAGCTCATTGAATACCAGGGTCAAGGTATTTCAGACGTATATACCAAGCCAGTACAAGACAATACCAATAAGGATTATGTTGGAGGTGTGTGAATCAAGGTAATGTGGGTGGGTGTGTGCGTGTGCGCTCCAGGCCTGTTGCGGCCAATCAGAGGTATGCCCGCAGTGTGATTGAAGAAGCCATGCACTCAGGCCTGGATTCGTAAAGTAGAAGATTGCCTGAACTTGGGACCACTTGTTGCAGGTCCTCGATTTCAGCAAGAAGATTCAACCTCTGGCCCATCATATCAGTCCATCGAGCTTTTGCTGACGCTTGCCAACGGAGTTAGATGCTTAGTCAACCGCCTCAGAATATGACTGCCTCAATGAAGTGTGGGAGAATATAATTGCCTCAGGATTGGAGGCAACCGACACCTGTACATCACTGCTCATTGGGGTGCTGTGAAAGCAAGACCGATACTGGCTTGGGGCCCAAAGAATGTACAACATATTTACATTATATTTTCATTATGTATATAAACTACAGTATGAAGATGTTGCCGTGCATCGCATGTGTGCCCAGTTGCAAAGATGTGGCTGGCGATTCTCGATGTAGTGTTTCGTTCTCAGTCCTTCTTGTTGCTGACACTAGTCAATAAGGGCCAGCGTTTAGTAACTAGTGCCCAATACCTATGCCTAGGTTTCACCGACGACCAGAAACTCCAGTGCTGAGTCGCTGGACATCTTGTGGGTCATGTGTTCGGTTTTTTCTGTCGTGGCCCAAGATACCAGCAGTATCCGCTGCTACTGCTTGCAACAAACTTAATGGCCGGCCGCATCTTAGGCTTGCGTCTTGCTTCCACAACTTGTTCCACCAAGCCTGGCTGGGGGGCTGAGAACTTTTGCTTCCTTTCAATTTCAATCAGTTTCAATTTGTGAAACCACTGACGTTGACATTCAATGTTGGGTTGGGTTGCGCGAAGAAGAATGATTGGATGAGTGAGTGAGTGAGTGAGTGAGTGGCTGGCTGGCTGGCTGGAAGGAAGGAAGGAAGGAAGGCATGAAATGAATGAAATGAAATGACATGAAACAAAAAAGCAAAGAAATAAGGAATGAATGAATGAATGAATGAACTCAAATGAATGTAATTTCATGACATAAAATGAAATGAATTGAATGATTGACTGAATTCATGAATGAATGAATGAATGAATGAATGAATGAATGATGGATGGAAATAATGATGGAAGGAAGGACTGAAGGAAAGAAGGACTGAGGGAAAGGTGTTTCCGGCACGTTTGGGGGCCCTCCGTGATCCTCGAACACCTGAAACGGATAAAGAGGGCCTAGCAAGGGCGTTCTGTGAAATGCCGCTTTGCTGTTTGGATGAGCTATGTTCCGGGCGCCTTCGGAAATTCATGCAGGTTGGGTAGCTACTACATACACTTGCCATGTCAGTTTCCAAATGATGCCCTTTGGAGGCTGGGAACTACAATGAGTATGATCTACTGGAGAAGGGCAGACTGTTTGATGTGGTGTCTCGTCCTTGTAGGACTTTGCAACTGATACAAGTTGTTTGTAATAATTTCTATTTTTATAAAACATATGTAACATATGATATGTTTTGCATCGAATGCTCTAGGTCCGGATGATATCTTTGAGAAAGCTGACCAACGCGGAGGTAGAGTGCAATTTTGCACGAGCTTTGAGCCAGCGTTTGTGCATGCCTTACCTTACATAAGTTGTGACAGGACAGTGAGAGAATACAGGTGTGGTTCATCACCTCCTTATATACTTGTTTGCTACGCTTGCTCAGGGCCACCCGTGGCAGATCTCATCAAATCAATGCCATGGTAGTGGGCCAAGCTATCCTTCCAAGCCAGACTTAGGGATTGAGTGCAACAAAACATTTACTCAGGTTTGACATACTCGACTCGATTGAGTTTTTTGTTATCTGATGTCATCTGACGAGGCATCAAAATTCATCCTGAGCGAGATCCAGAAGGAGCACCAGCACCAGCAAATGGCATTGCACATTGCAAAGGTGGAACGTCATGATCCTAATCTTAGTGTCTCAAACCCAATAGAGCACTCTACAATCTATGACCTGTGATCTGTGATTCTTGACCTGGCTTTTAAAAATTCACTACAGGTGATGGGGATGCAAGTACAGAAGTTGTTCAATACAAGCGCAGCTTCAATGGGTACTCCTTGTATTTGAGCGAGTGTTTATCGCAGCGCGTGGGGCACTAAGTATGAATGTTTGCATGATGGTGGTATATGATATGATATATGAACGTCATTTGCGAAGGTCCCATTGCCTGGGGAGACTGAGAACCAAACACGCTTACGTTGCTGGCGGGATGCCACTGCACGATGGAAGAATGGTGAGGTGGATGTAGCTGTTTTTTGTTGGAACTCGCATGTGGACTGTCAGTCAATTAACGAAATCAAAGTTCAGCAAGGTCAAACCAACCAAACTATCTACTACATTTATTTACAGTCAATATATATACATTACTATATGTATATATATATATATCTATATTGAAATCTGATCTCCGCTTGATCCGCTCGATAACCGCTTGAGGTAAAACGGCAAGAAGCCCTTCAATTGAACAAAGCTAGCCAGTTGGCGCTGGCTGCTGACAATCCCTTGGTGCAGTCGTCTCCTGACCAAATTGACCCAATGGCAACCCTTGGGCTGGTCAACCCGTTGGGCGACTCCCATTATGCAATTTCAGAGACGTTATTGGACCAGGCACGTGACGGCCACAACGGCAATTGGTTGACGCACAACTACAATGAGTTTACTACTGCGTTCGGTAGTTTGCTGGAAGCCGAGTCTGACTCTGACGACGATGACAACATTAGAGTCCACTGTGAGAAGAAGTATTGTAGTGGCCTTTGCCAACGCCACTTCACACAAGCGGTTTTGCAATCCTTCAGGAGATTGGAGGAATCAATGAAGGACATTTTACGTCGCAGCCGCGCTGAAAGAAGGTCGGACGGCTTCTCGGCAAAACATGTTCCACTTTTGCCGTGCCAGCCCTCTGGCGATGACAAGATTGAGCTTGTGGAAGTGTACATGCTATGCCGGATTTCATTTTCGCCTTTTGATGGGACGGCTGTGGAGTTCAAGCCGCTCCCTGACTTGAAAGCCAAGCTGGTGGTAACGCAGGGGCCTGCCGGACCAAGAACTGCACAGTTCAAGGCATTACCAAAGCTGCTGTTCCACTTTGTGCACGTGATGGATAGCAACAATGAACTGAGTCTAGCGACAGCTAACTACCAAGCACGTAACCTCAATGAGGTGGAGTTTTCTGCCATGACCATGGGCAAGGATATACCAATCATGAACGATCAAGATGATCTGGTCTCTGACGAAGAACATGGTGATACCGACAAGCTTTTTGCCTCTCTTACACATGTACTTCAAACTGCGTTGGGCAAACAAACAAAGTCGTCACAGCCAAGACATACCCGACAAAGTGGACATGGAAAAGACCAAAAAGTGAAGAAAGCGAAGGCATGTCAGAAACAGAACAACAAAGTTGATGGTGCTCATCAGGAACAACCCTCAAACCCCAACGAGCCTGGTCTTGCAGGGCAAACATCTGCGCTCATTGAGAACGAATGGGGCACGGCAGTGGAAGCAGAGTTGGGTCCTGTAAAATGCGTGCCTGTGGATGAGCCAAAGCCTGCATCTTCAGAACCTCCACCTTCAGCTGCGTCCAGTAGCAGCCGCGCTTGTGGTGGTGGTGGTGGTGGTGGTGATGGTGTGCCAATTCTTTCCAAGACGCATCCTTGGCGAGATGCTCAGGGCTATGCGTGGGCGTTCTCAGTGGACACAGGAAAGGCTGTCCACCTTGGTCAGGGCCTTGTTGTGAAAGCTGAGTATTATAAATTATAAGCATTGTTATTGTTATTATATTTGATTTTCACTTCGGTTATTTGTTCATGTTGGATTTATTGGCAAAGGTCGCATTACCGAGATGAAGGTGGATACACCACAGCATTGTGTCTCAGTGTATTGTAGTGCCTTGTCTGAGTGTCTGTTCCTTGAAGGAAGTAACCAAAATATGTTCGAACAACAGATGATACGATTCCGAATTCCAGGCCAGCATCGCCAATGCAAGATCCTCGTTTCTGCCAAGAAATTGAAGCAGGATAGCGAAGCCAGCATTCTCCAGTATCTTGATGCTGATCGATCGATTCGGGGCAAGGATGGCGCTAAGCAACATAAGGATCAGCTTCTTGCATTGCAGACTTCATATACAAGTGTTTCAGTCTCAGTCAGAGTCAGACTTGTTTGGACATATTTGGACATTGCGTTGATGAGGTTCAAAACTTTCTTGGGTATCTGAGAGTGGGGTCAGGGGCCGAGCGTTGTATGTCAGTGTTTGGAGTGAATGGGCTCTCCAATTGGTTTCCAAACGCACGGAGATGCATGGCATACGGAGATGAAAATAGCATTTGTTTGATTTCATAGGATTGATTCACAAAGCATTTTTGTATTTGTCTACAGTCTACTACTCACTAGACTGACTCACACATTGCTCTCAGCAGCTGCTTCATTGAAGAAATAATGTTTGATGAGCTTTGGCTCAATTCGTGAAGGGTGACTATATATAGGATTGGGGGCTTGTGTTCGCAGGGGATGCCAGCTATACAAAGTAAACCAGCTGTGCCTGGAGCCTCAAGAGTGAAGAGTCAGAAAGGCCCTGCACAGTCGAAGGAGGCTCCACTACCACCAGCAGGCATTACCCTACCGGAGAACTACAAGCCACGGATGTGCAAACGCTGTGGGCATTGGTCTACTGAGGAAGCTCCCTACGATCAATCACAATCTCAGGAGAAAGCTTGGTTGAACATGCTCACGTGGGAGTCTGGCACATTGGAAGCTCCTCAGGGGTGTCACTGCCTCTTATGCCGGAAGGCAAGGAAATGTCAAAGACGAACCACAAATGATACTAAACTGAACTGAGACTGATTGTTTATCTTAATATCTTAAGGTCTTGTGTATCCGAAATGGATACATTATACCTTGGTACTGTACCTGTACCACACTGTACCGTACCGTACCGTACCGTACTGACAGTACCGTCCCGTCC